CCTGGTGGTATTACAGGGGCTCCCTGGAGTCACGCTGTGGTGTGGCATGTCCTGAGCAGCTGAAGAGGGCTCCGGGTTAGAGTTCATTACAGAAGTCTGCTCAAGAGGACATCTAGAATGAGCCTCATCCAACCCAGACATCAACCCCAAAAGAAGATGCCAAACGAGAAACTTTTTGCCTTCAGGAAAAACATTTCCCTCAAAATACTCATCTCTTGAGTTTTGTGGTCTTGCATTTGATGCTTGAAACCTATTAATTCCATTTTTACAGTACTCATACTGAGACTGTAAGGAAAAGGGTGTAGTTTAAGAAGCTGCCGTTTTTATACAGGCCCTGTCTAGTGGCCTGCACATGCTCCCATGCCTCCCCCAGGCTCTGCGGAATGAGCGATGGACCACACAGCCCGATGCAGCCATCAATGAGATTAATCTGCTCCTTGTACAGCCTTGAGGTGTTACGTGCACAACAGCCCATTTATAATGGCTTAGTTCTACTTCACAATACTCTAGTCAGTATTTCTGTTCTCTAAAATAAAGTCCATTAACATTGCATTCTTTTTTGATAACCTTGAAAACGTATCTTGTTTGGAAATAAGTTCTCGTATCCACGCCTGGAGAATCTGAGTGTCCCTGACGTGCACTGACTCCTACCACCCAGGCTGGCAGCAGAGAGGGGCTGTTGAGCTTCTCGTCCAAGATTGGGGGCCATCCTGGGCCCAGTCACCCTGCTCTAGTCATAGGACCACTATCTGAGGTCAGAAGGCAGCTTCCTTAGAAGCCAAACCCACAGTCCCCTGGGTGCTAGAGGGGGAGGACGAGACGGTTCACTTCAGAGTAAACAACAACAACAAAGAAAACAAGGTTAAAATGAAGTTTATTATTTTTTTGATTTTTTTTTTTTTTTTTTTAAATAAAACTGTTTGTGAAACAGCTACTTTATCCCCACGGCAGAGTGACCCCTGAAAGATGCACTAACCCCTTCTTAAGGCCTTAACAAGAATTATTTTGTACTTTTTTTTTAACTCAGATATTTAAAAATTATACAATTTACAAAACACAACAACACAACATAAAGACGCATGGAGCGCGGGGGCTGCTTGTGGACAGGCCCCCTTTTCCTTTATAAAAATGAAAGCACAAAGAAAGCCGGGGATGGGGTAACTGGGCATTGGTGGCCGCCAGTGTGATCCACTGATCCCCCAGGACAGTCCTATGCCCTTAGTCCCTTGTCCAGAGCAGAAGCCTGGTTCTCCTCCTCAGTCCCTGTGGGGTAGGCTAAAGCTGCCTGGAATGTGCGGTCCCTCCTCCACCCTGCCTGCGGTGAGACTTGGTGGGTCAGAGGAACCTGCCAGCCACACTGACCCGGCCAGGCCCTTGGGGTCTCTGCCAATTTAACTCAAAAAAAAAAAAAAAAGATTTGAAAATTTAAAATAATAAATAAATAGTGTTTCTGGAAATGAAAAAATTTATTTGTGTTTAAACATCATTCCCCAACTCTTGAAAACATGGACCTTCCCCACTCCCCTCCCTCCCCCAACCTCCCCACTGTGAGACAAGGAGAAGCAACACAGGGTGGCTGGCTGTGACCCAGCTGCTCCTTGAGCCCCGGGTGAGGGCTCTCCGGGGTGGCGGGAGAGGCTTCAAGCCGAGCCACAGCCCCGTCCGTGTGAGATGAGTTTGTTCAGTTCAATTTCACATTTGAATCTGTCATTGGAACAAATTTGGGAGTTTTTTAACTAGGTAATTTTAAAATAGAATCAAAAGGGATAGCGCACCTTTCATTTAAACAAAGTCTTTCCAGACTAAAAATAGATTTATATATATATATTTTTTATCCCTCCCTTTTAGTCCCCCCACCCTTCTCCCATCACCTCCCTCCCCCCTCCCCCACAATGTCACTATGGAGATTGTGTCCATGGAAACAGCCATTCCAACTTCTTGGGTCTCTTTTCTGTGGTGTCCCGGTTTGAGTGTGATGTAAGAACTGAGGAGGAAGAGCTGGCGCGGGCAGGCACGTCGGGGTGGGGGTGGGGGGGCTGCGCGGGAGGGCGGTTTCCATCCCATCGAGTGTCCACCACGTCTCATCTCCACAGTCTCACCTGGAAGACAGGAGATAGGTGCTGACACCTCTGAGCATGTGCCTGGCCGGCTTGCCAAGTAACGGAAGGGAGGCCAGGAGTGAAGTCCCACCCCCCACTCCTCTGATCTCCGGGTACTTAACCATGCCACACTGGGGAAGAGACCCCCCCACAGGCAACTTTCTTGGGACTAATACACCACGCCGGCCCCAGTGACAGTTCCTCACATGAACAGCACCTGCTTTCCACAGGAGACCCTGGGACCCAACTTCTCAAGGAGTTAGGTGACAGAGACTGCTCAGCAGGGGCACAAAGCCTCTCTGCACCAACTCTGTGCAAAGGAAGCATCTTCCCGCACCTGGGCACTCAGGGAGGAGAACATGCGGCCAGAGTTGGGACTGGGGTTCCCATCTGAGCCCTGTCTTCTGACTAGGCCCGTTCACCTTCAGGGTCAAGGCTGAGGCTGAGAGGAGACCAGGCCTGGGCCAGCAGACCTGCAGCAGTTGCTCTGAGCTGGCATAGGCCAAGGGAGCTAGCACCTACTTCTGCGCCAAAGTCTCCGCACAAAGGCACCTAAATGCTCATCAGCTACTACTCAAGGTCTGACCTTGGGTCCCAGCTTTCCAACACGTCCTTTCCTATACAGCCTCAGGACACAGTCATAGCCTTTCCTGGCCCCCCCAGGCTTCCCCCCACTGCGTGTGTGCACCAAACTCCGACTCCGTACTGATGAGGGGACAGCCAGTCTGGGTACAGTTCTTTCTTCCCTGGAACACAGGCATTCCTTGAACATGACTTTGCACCCCCAGTGCCAGGCTCTGCGCAACAAGACAGACACGGCCCTGGTCCCCATGATGGTTCATTCTAGAGCAGTGGAGGAGCCGAGCACCAAACAAGGAGATGGCAGTTTGGAGCTGTGGTGATGCCGGATGGCCCCTCTGAGGAGGTGGCCAGTAAGAGGCAATGGCGCATGTCCGTGAAGGCCGCCATCACTGAGTCTGTGGTGCGGGGACCACTGCTCTGCTGGATGCCCAAGGATGGTGGCCCTGCCCCAAACTGGGGTTTCTCAACAGCCTGAACGGCACTCCCTGGGCATGAGGGAGGAGGTCTGCCTTCCCCTCAGTGTGCTGCTGCTCAACATCAGCCGACAAGGGACAACATCTCAGATGAACAAGAAGTAGGCATAGACCCTGAGATGACGGATCCAACATCAACATATGCTACACTGATGCTTCTCAGAGCAGCAGGTCAAGCCCCTACCTCACTCCATGTCTCAGTTTCTCCTGTAAACACAGCAGCAGTAATGACAGCCTTGGGCATCGCTCCATCAGAAGTGGCCCAGAGGGCAAAGAATGGGATGAACAATTTTTCTTGAAACAACGTGAGGCCCAGGCCCCACAGAGGGATGGGCTTCTAGGGCAATGAAAGCTCCAAACAACAGCGGCTCTTCAGGGAAGGGTTCAAGACTCTTCATCAGGGTCCCCTAGAGAGGAGGCCTTGAGCACCCGAGGGCCTGGTGACACGCTGCAGAGCCTGCTCCGTGTATAAGGCGGAACACGGTGAAGGGCTCATGTCAACCCAACCACTACCCTGAGAGCTGATCAGTGGACGAGGGGGACAGCAGTCACCTCCTCTGCTCTGGCCCCTCCCTCCCCAACCCCACTCCCTAGAGGAGAAAAGGAGAGCTGTGCTTCTGTGAGCTGCTCACCCAAATCTAGCTCCAGACAGAGCCCTGACACCTGACCCACCAAGCGCCCATGAAGACTGCCCAGGCCTGAGAGAAGCAGCGCGGCACGGCCACAGTCCCCAGGTCTGCAAGCCAGCGCCAGACTCGCCTGAAGTGACGAGTTCTCAGAGCTCATGTTCCTGGAAGAAGAACATGGTCACATTCTAAGATCAGTGGTATTTTACTACTATAAAATTACGGTGGTCCAAGATACTGTCAGGTCTTCCCAGAAAGGTGGGACCCACACATCGTGACGGGGCGGTCCACTGCTGTCCAGTCGGTCCTGGGTCTCTGAGCCACAGAGATCCTCTGTAACGGTGTAGGGGCCCCATAGTCCATTAAATCTTGTCAGGGAGGTTGTGCTGTGAGCGGGGTGGGCCTATTCCTGCGTGTGGGGCCCAGACGGCTGTAGTAAACCCAGAAGTCTTTAAATTAAACAGATACAATCATGGAGTGAATACGTTTACGGGGACCAGGCTGTCCATGTCCTGTTGTAGGAAGTTACGAGGTTCTGTTTTTCTTCACGACTGTTTTCATTATCACTCAGTGATTGAGCGAGGGCAGAGACTGAGGCTGTGTGTGGCGCAGGGGGGACCCTATCCATCACCCTGTCTTTGGGGACACATGACAAGACGGCCTTGACCGAGATCCCCACACTCACAGAGAACAGGAAATCACACACTCAAGTCTACTAAGTCTCTGAGGGGAATTCCTTCCTCTGTGCTTCTGAGAAGAGAGCTCTCCTTCACGGCACTGGCGGAAAAAGAGATAATTTCAAGTAACACAACTTGGAGAAGGAAACCACAAGGTCAGCTTTATAGGTATGGCGTAGACAAGAAAGACTAGAACAGAATAAAGACTGAGACTTTCCCAGAGTCCCTTGAGCCAGGGAGAGAGCAGCTGAGGGAGTCCCCAGGAGGGTCTGTTTGAGGAGCCAGTCGTGTCCTGCTTCAGGCCCATGGCAGCTCATCCCCCAAGGCTGAACCCCAGTGGGCAGCGGAGAGTTCTGCAGGAGACAGGCCAAACTCCTACCACCTTCCCACAGATGTTCCACGGGGGAAACAAGTCTTGTCTTATCCAGCTGGTGTATGGAGGGCAGCCAGGGTGAGCAGGGGGCCGGGCAGGGGTGGTGGGCACCGCGGCCCGACTCACCTGTGCTTGCTGAACTCTCCATTCCCGCGAGCACACTGCCCCCCTCACCCCCGCTCCGACTGCTCTGTGCTGAGGCTGCCTTTTGCGGTCTTGTTCTGCAAGGGTGGGAGAGGGCACGGGAGGGGAGGCTGCCGGCCACCGTGCCCAGAGGAGACCAGACAGGAGACAAAGAGAGAGAGTGGGAGCCAGGGGGAGGAGGAGAGGGGTGGTACACGGAAAATGAAAGAGAAAGGAGAGTCAGTATTGAGTGACAAACAGCTCTGCAGACAGAATCTTCTGAGGAAAATATGACCATTTCAAACGGGAAGTTTCAAAAATAAAAACATGCAAAGCAAGTAAAAATAAAGATCCTGTGATCTACCTCTGGAAAGAATTTGTAAGGAAGTTTGTGGAAGAGTATCTTTCAGGAACATTTCAAGGGTCTGCCTCTCCAGGGGACCTGCTTCTAGTACCTTATGGTGCTTCTTGGAGGTTTTGTAGACTGTGATCAGTCAGTGACCACCAGGTGTCAGTGTGACCTTAACCAGAGATGGCAGCATGGCCAGGCAGGGACTCCTCCCCTCCCCCCAATACACAGCTCACAAATAAACCACCGGCCTAATTCATCAATTCATTGCCCCCCCCCCCCCACTTCTGACAAGAGGCGACCAGAAGCCACACCTTAAACACCTGGAGTGGGGTGGCAGCCCTCAGCTGTGTTGCTTCTGCTCTACTCAGTTAAAACCTTGAAGAGAGTCCCGCCCCCCCACCCCCCCCCAGAGCTCTGACATCAGGGCTACTTCTTCCTGCTCATCTGGGAAAGGCCGACAGCTAATCTCACAGCAAGGAAACTGGGGTTCCTTTCAATCAAAGTGAGACCAGCAGTTTTAACAAGTGTTAGCTTCTAGTTCCCTTAAGGAAGGGCCAAATGCCCCCATCTCACACACATTTCCTCTAGTCCACTCACACCACACAAGCTGTTGGCCCAGGACACAGGTTTCCCTCCCGTCCATGGTTGGGCACAGTCCTTCCATGTCCAGTCTCTTTAGATCTTCCTAGAGGAGCACCCTGACCCCCTGCCTGCTGGGGGCATAGGTGCTCTCTGGGGCCTCTGACTCACCTTGTGCTTGGGGCACCTCAGCGAGAAGTTGTCCTCGTGTAGCAAACAATCTGCAAGACAGAGGGGACAGTCAGAGGTCCTGTGCAGTACATTCTCTCAGAAAACATGAGCGATGCCCCATAGAGATCGTGGTACCTCAACACCATGGACTCGTACACACAATCATTTGCAAAAGAATGGTTCAAAATCATTTCCAGTGAGGAGAACACTCGTGACACAAGACTGCTTCAAAATGCAGACTCCCAAGTGTGCAACTATAATTCTAACTGTACATCTCCATGTGTTTAAAAAACCCACCAAAGCACAGCAGTGGTTCTCTTTGGGTAGTGCGACAACAGGCGATTTTCATTTTCTAGATTTCCATGACGAGCTCATATTTTAATAATCAAACAAAATCTCTAATAAATGTTGTTTCAGAAACCTTTGATCCTAGGCAAAAGCCCATGCCAAGGCCCAAGCCAAAGCCTTCTCATAAAACCCTTTGGGCCAGAGGCCGTGTCAGTGTAGACGCTCAGCATCAGGCAGGAGGGCTAGGGGAGGCCAAGGGAGGCACACAGCAACCTGACAATCCACCTTCAGAGAAACGAAAACTTAAAACAAACCCCCATGAGGGGGCAGTAGTCCTGGAAGGGCCATGAAGGACTTGTTCCAACACTGAAGACAGTGAGGAGACGCCAGCGAGGGACCTGACCCCGCCTCTGGGTGAGCAGAGGCTGTGGTACATGGGCGGGAGGTGTGCGGAGCACCGCAAGACCAGGAGTGTCCCCGGTCACTTTGTCCACCCCACTCCTGGGGACCGACAGCCAGACTACAGGTGCAAGTCAGGGGGGTGAGCAGGATAAGCACTGATCACATATCTTCAGAGAGCCCTCAGTCCTAGCAGGACAGCTGTGGACCCATTTTGGGAAGTTGGCGAGTTGAATCTGGTTTACAATAGGCCAGGTCCGCAAGCCAATCACAGATTCTTCGTAAGCGTGTGGCACCATTTATTGTGGTTTTGGTGATGTTGACAGATTGTGTTTATGACTTAGTTATGATGCCTCCTCCTCCTTCCTGGGTCCCCTGTTCCCCTTTCCTGCATTCTGACATTTGTTTTAGGGTAGATGCTGCCCTTTTGGTCTCATGTGGTCACTGCCAATAGATTCCAAATGAAAGAGTAATAAGCAAGGGAGTATGAGCCGGAATGCATCACAAAGGTCCTTTGGTCACTTGGCTAAGCCCTCCGAGTCCTTGTGGGTGCCCTGAACATCCAGGCATGGCCAGTCTCCTGGTCCTCAGGGAACCCTGTACAAAGACTCAACAAGCCTTCAGCAGCCCTGGGCCCCTCCCCTGGCAAGCAGGTAACATGGCAGGAAATGAAATGCGTTCATTTAAAACCCACAAATACAGAGCGTGACCAAAACTCCTGCTGCTACAATCTGCCAGAAGTGTCTATCAACAGCAGGAGCCAGCAACTGGGCCCTGGGACGCGCGCCTACCTGGGCTTCGGCAGCATTGCCTGCTCAGCGACTCTCCAGCTTGGGGCTCAGCCACCCTGCGCCATAGGGACTTACAAAAGCAAAGATGGGCCATGGTGTGGCACTCCAGAAAGGCACAAGGGTTCCGGTTCCCCTGGACACCACAGAACAGCGACCAGCTGTGAGAGGCCATTGGAATACATGTCTGAAGTTAGGAACACTGTGTTCCCTCCTACTTACAGGCAGCAAGTACACACTAAAGACCACTTGGAAACTAGTCTCCTAAACATCTGCCAGAGACCAGGCCTACCTCTGATGACAGCCAGTGTCTATCCCCATGCCCACACGCCCATGGGAATTCTCCATCCTGCATGTCAGAGTCACAGCGAGAGCTTAGTAAAGCTCCACGGGGTCTTCTTGGCTGCCTCCACCAGTCCCCCAAGACAAGAGTGGTAAGAAGAATGCTTCAGATACCTGGCTGACCACTGCACGGCCAGCTGATGGACGCACTGGAGTCAGAGTGAGTGCCCACTGGGTGTTCCCACAAGCTGGAAGAACTCACACAGTGGCCTGGTCAACCAACTGGCTTTGGACAAACACTAGTTAGAAGAGTGCTCTACTTCCCATTCTGCAGACTTTGAGGCAGGTGAGCTGTGCCAAGCGCCTTGTGATAGACAGAAAGCCGGCACGCTAGAGATGCCACCAGCTGAGGACAGAGGAGTCTAAACTCCACTGGAGCTCTGGGGCAGCAGCCCATCTACTCCTGAGCCAGCAATGCAGGGCTGCAATGAAGGCCGCACGCAGGCACTCCGGAAGAGGAATAGTATGGTCCGCTGCCTTTTCAGGGCTGGGAAGAGCAAAGTCTTGGACAGAGAGCAGCTTGACAACCTGCAGCAAGATACAATTCCCAGAAGTGGTCCCTCATGACGACGGCAGAACCCCTGCTTTCCAGGCAAGATTCTTCATTCACCATGGAATATTAATGAGCTAGCCGAGCTCTTGCCTCCTTCTGTCTTAGTTGCTGTGGCTCACAGGATTCGAGACATGAAGACACGTTTTTAACCACTGCTCACAGCCATTCCCCCTGCGCAGGTGATGCAGGAGCTTGATGCAGACTCAGCATCAGGTGGGGCGGGGCAGCTTCAGGAACCACAGAGCCCTTGAAACAAAGCTTCGGTTTCCATGACGACATCCATCTTAAAGTTTTCCCAGAGACATCAGCAGCTCTTGAAAGGCCAGCAAGACCGAGGAAAATGTGAAGTTGTTCCTAACGGTCCCGAGAGGGGCTTATCAGCCAGGGACTGGCTCTCACAGAGTTCTACAGAGACTCAACCAGTGACCCCTTACCTGGATTTCTAGAAAAGAATCCCTGAGGACATCTAAGTCACTGTGATTCAGGACATGAGAACACCCAATACATGCCCAGACACCTCTGAAGCCTCTCTGGTCCCAGTGCTTCAAAGTGAGGAGCAGGCAGTCCCCTCACACGTCTGCCCACCTCAGTCGGCTCTGCACTGGCACCCAGCTACCCACTTCTGTTACAGAGCTGGTACCTACTCACCTGGGCCGCCAGACCTGACAGGTCTTAGTACAGAAGAGACAAACACCACTTGCATCTTAACACTCACCTGGTTAAGGTGGCCCCTGCTTTCTCTGCTTGTGGTGGGTGTGCACGTCAGGTAAGGCCCTCTTTCCAGAGACGCCTGCCAGCACTGCCTGAGCATGGTCAGGGTGGCCACTAGCTACACATGGTCATTTAAAAGCCAGTGTACATGAATTTAAAGAAAACCAAATGGAAAAGTCAACTCCTTGGCCACACTAGCCCCAACACAAGCGCTCCGAGGTGACATCAGGTGGCGGCGGCTACGTTAGGGAGCACAGATACAGGCTTTCAACCACCAACGAAAGTTCTACTGGAACAGCCATACAGTCAGCCCCCAACATGGTGCTCCAGTGTGCCCCCGAATTCTGAGCAGAGCTTCTGTATGGAAGATCACCTTTGACCCGGCCACCAACACGACGGCAGTTCTTGTGGCACTCCCCATTAAAATGAACTACTGCTAGAGACAGCGTATTTTAAAATCCTCATTTAATAACCAGGAAGTTTAATACAGGAAAAGAAAACAAAACCTCCGGATGGAACTGGAGCGGTACAATGAAAGCAAGAGAAGATGACTGCTGGCTCTTGAGACAGGGTTTACCAGTCAACAGAATACACCAGGCCACAACCAGAGTGGAAAACAGCTCACACGCACATGGGAGCCGGAGAGAGAAGAGAGGACACACAGAAACTCAAAGAGGCACTTTGAAGTTCACTACTTACTCCCTGGAGCCGTGGTGTGGCGCTGTGCATTAACGCACCAGACTACAAAGCTGTTTGGAACTGCAAAGTCAGTGGTTCAAGCTAACCAGCTGCTCCTCGGAAACCCTATATAGGTTTTTCACAACAACTTACTCCCTGCGCATCGTCCCCCAGCCACCATGCTGCCTTTCAGGATGGGGCTCTCTCTCTCTCTGTCTCACACACACTTTTATGAGAAGCTAACTGGAACAAGATTGCCATTCTGTATCTTTCTTTCCTACAGAAACTTGGAGAGAGAAGGGAAGTAGGGAAAGAAGGGCAAATGAGAAGGGAGAAGGTGTTTAAGCAAGATCAGGGTGGGGCTGAAACGGTCCACTCCCACTCTGGTTGGAGGCTGAGCTACTCCCCAAGCCTGCCAGCATCTGGTCCCTGTACTGTATGCTCCGCATGTTTCTGTCACCTGGGTCAGCCACACTCTCTCCTCTCCTCCCTGCCATTCCAAATCCAAGTCAGGTGGATGTCCCAGAGGCAGCTCCAGGGTGTCCTTCACAGACCTGGGACACACTCCCAGATCACACAGCCTGTGAGACTCACTGTTGTCTTGTGCACCTGTCTCTCCAATCTGAATGCAAGCAGCATTAGGGCAGGCTAGGTGAAGCCCACACATCTACTCTCAAAACACAAGTGCCGATTAAACCTAGGAGACAACAGTTTAGGAGAAGAGCTCTCCCCAGGTTGTCGGGGCCTGTGTGTGGCTGCATGGACAGTGTGTCTTGGTAAAAAGGTTTCTTTGTTTCAATGGTTATCACACAACCAAAACACTGCCTCAATCATCTCAACAGATGCATACAAATGCTGGACAATATCTAACACCTCTTTATGATAACAAAAGTAGAGAAACTAGAAACAGGCGCTTGGCTCAATTCAATGGAGAGCATCTAAAATCAGAGCCACAGGGGACATCAGACACAACGGACCACCAGGAACAAGAGTCTTTCCACTTCTTTCAACACTGTTGTGGTTGTGAAGTCCTATCCAGTTGGTTCCGATTCAGAGAGACCTTGCATAGGATTTCCAATGAGCAGATGGTGGGTTTGAACCACCAACTTTTTGGTGAGTACTTATCCACAGTGCCACACCAAGACTAAGAGATCTACTCAGAGCAGTTAGGCAAGAAAAAGGAGTAAGAGGCATTCAAGCTAGGAAAGGAAGGATGAAAACACTGTCAGTAGTTAAAACGTGACTTTTTCACACAGAAAATTCTAAGGAATCCACTTAAAAAATCTAAGAACTAAATGAATTCAGCAAGGCAGCAGGATTCAAGATCAATATACAAAAGTCTATTCCTAAATACAACAAATAATTGGATAAGAAAACAATTCCAATTACAATAGCATTAAAAACAATAAAGTATTTTGGAATAAATTTAAATAAATACAAAGCCTACACTTTGAAAATGATAAAACACTACTGAAAGAAATTAAAGATGGGTACACAGATCAAAAGATTTAATAGTTTTAAGATGGAAAAACTCTCCAAATTCATCTGTAGAGTCAACACACTACACTCTCTGTCAAATTTCCAATTGGCTTCTTTGCAGAAATTGACAAGCTGATCCTAAAACTTGTAAGAAAATTCAAAGGACTCAGCCAAACTAATTGATCCAACCAATCCTGAAAAAGAGAGCTGGAGGACTCACACTTTCTGATCTCAAAACTTACTATGAATGCTTAATAATCAAGACAGTGTGATATTGGCAAAAAGAAGGTGTATAGATCAACAGAACAAAACTGAAATTTTACAAACACTCATTTATAGTCAATTGATTCTCCATGAGGGTGCCAAGACAATTCAATGGGGGAAAGGCTAGTCTTTTCAACAAATGATGCTGGGACAACTGGATATCCACATGCAAAAGGACGAACTTGGAACCTTACCTCACACCATATATCAAAATTAACTCAATATGGATCAAAGACTTAAAAAAAAAAAATGCAAGAACTAAAACTATAAAATTTGCAAATTATCTGATAAGGAATTTGTTTGTATCTAGAATACGTAAAGAACTCCCACAACTCAAAAATAAAAAGATAAACAATCCAGTTAAAATAAGGGCAAAGGATCTGAATAGACATTTCTTCAATGATATACACACAGTCAATAAACAAAAAGATGTAATTCAGAACCACAATGTGATACCACTTCATACCCACTAGGATGACTGTAATAAATGACATAATAACAAATGTTGGTGAGGATGTACAAAAACTGAAGTTGCCATTCACTGCTGATAGGAATGCAAAAGTCAGGCAGTCCCCCAAAAGGTTAAATAGAGTTACTATGTAGCCCAGAATTCTACTCCTGGGTAAACACCCAAGAAAAATGAAATTATATGTCCACACAAACCCTTATACATGAATGGTTACAGTAGCAACAGCCAAAAAAATGGAGACAAATGTTCATCCATCAATGAAAGGATAAAATATGGTACATATCTATACAATGGACTTTATTTTGCAATAAACAGGAATGAAATAGTACTGATGGTGGTGGTGGTTACGTGCTATGGAGTCAGTTCCGACTCACAGCGACACTACATAGGGTTTTCGAGGCTGTAAATCTTTTTGGGAGCAGAAAGCCTCATCTTTCGCCCACGGAACAGCTGGTAGTTACAAACTGCTGACCTTGAAGCTAGCAGCTCGACTCATAACCACTATACTATGCTACCTGTGTTGAAACATGATACAATATGGATTAACCTTAAATACAAACTAAGTGACAGAAGCTAGTCACAAAGACTACGTATTGTATGATTCTACCTATATACAATGTCCAGAATAGGCAATGCCAAAGAGATACAAAGTAGATTACTGGTTGCCTCAGGCTAGGAGTCCTGGTGTGGCGCTGTAGGCTAATGCATCAGACTGCAAAGTCTGTAGTTCGAGCTCACCAGCTGCTCCTTGGAAACCCTATACAGGGTCGTTATGGGTCAGAATTGACTCAACAGCACTTAACAACAACAATAATAGGGCTAGGAGGGAGTCCCAGTGTAGCACTGTGGGTTAATGTGCCAGACTGCAAAGCCATATGAACTGTAAGGTCGGCGGTTCAAGCTCACCAGCTGCTCCTTGGAAACCCTAAACAGGTCGGAACCGACTTGACAGCACTTAACAACAACAACAAGGGCTGGGGAGGGGTTGTGTGTTGTGGAGAAGAGTGACTACTAATGAGTGAGGATTCTGTATTGGGGGGGGGATTAAAGCGTTCTATTACTAATGAGTGAGGATTCTGTATTGGGGGGGATTAAAGCGTTCTAGTAC